ATCAAGACCCACTGCGAGGATGAGCTCTGAAGCTCTCCAATTTTGCAACTAGACCTTCGCCCCTAAACCTGGCGGCATAACCTGGACCCCTGCCACCCGAAGCCTCAAGAATAAGTAGAAAGAATCATCGAACAAACCCAGACTGCTTGCACATGCTTCCAAATTCTCAGAGTTTTCACCGATTTCTCGGCAGCTCTCGAGCCGAGAGCTGGCCTGCACGCTCGGCCGCGTGGAGATAAAGAACAGCTGCAGCCGCCGACGGAGCCGTGTTGCTACTGGTGCTCTGCTGTTTGCTGAAAGCTTCTTTTTGGCTTTCGTCCTCTTCATCGTCGTACTACCGGTACTTTCATGCCTGTAACTACTGGCTGTGGTAGCCGCCGCCTGCTTTGCAGCCAAGTGTACGCCAGCGCGCACCAAGGACGAGCCCAGTCATTTGGGTGACGGCGACGGCCTCGGGTGTGTCGCGCAAGTTTCAGAAGGAGTATCGGTGCACGAAGCACGGAGAATCCTGAACGCCACGAACGCAGAGCTGCAGCGCAAGGCCGCCAAGCTGGAAGAAACCCAGGGCAACGAGAAGATGGCACGGGGCCCAAGCGCTGGAAGCGCTGCAACCCTGGAGTGCGCCAGTCTTCTTCCTAGTAGGGGGGTACTCGTATTTAAGGGCTTTAGAGTTTTTGGGGCTTCAGGGCTTTAGGGCTTTAGGGTTTAGGCTTAGGGTTAGAGGTCAGGAGCCTCGATGAGAGCAGCAGGACATGATCAGCAAATTCAGAGCCGTCCAGCACCTGTAAGTACCCTCGAAACATCACGTTGTCGGAAGTGCCATTGCTACTCTTCGTCCCGAGCTAGAAGCATAGCAGATGAAAGTTACAGTCTGATCATAGCCCTGACTCCCCCCTTGCAAAAATCCCTTTGCCAAAGATCGGACCTCAACCCAAGGTGGAGCTGATTTTGACGCGAGCCATCGACTCCCTGGCCGCCAATGGCGTGACACCGGACCGCGACATGCAGGGGGCTCGGTGTTGGCGCGTGAGCTTGACAGAACAACGCATGCATCCGCTCTCTCGTGTACTATCTCTGTGGTTCTTTGTGTACGATCTTGCAAGCACATGTCAACATTGATGCAGCCGCCGAAACCGAGTTTGGGCTACCTTGCTCGCACACCCCAGGTGGTTGAAGCAAGCGGAAGAGGCCAAGACCTGCAGCCCCGGGCTAGTCCAATCCAAAGGTTCGTGTGGCCACCCGAAGGCAGAAGACATTGTACTGGAAGTACATCGTGACTATGCTTTAAAATTAGAAGATGCTGCCATCGGGTTGAGCCGTGGCGGTCCCAGACGTACCGTGCAGTCAACCTACTGTCGACATTTGCGACTATAGCACCTATGTCACAAGGATCGTTTCACCTCTTGTCGCATTTGCCGGCTCAAATCGTGCTGCCCAGTGCGTTTCTAGATAGCAGCATTGTGGAAACCGGCCCCTGCACTGTTCCAGTATTTGGCATCCTGTGGCAGGCAGAGAAGACGGGCTTCATCAAGACGTGCCAGGCCATCATCAAGGTGACCATCAAGGCTCGGCACCGCTGACTTTCTGATTGCGCTTCCTTCAAGGCTTGGTCAGGTTGCCCATTGAAGCTTCATGCAGCGGTGCCGAGTGCCGGAACAGGATGCTTGGGTTCGCATTCGATCGATGGTGTCAGGGACTCTAGGGTATTGCCTGAAGGACGTTGTACAAGCCTGGGCCAGCCTGCCCGGATGAGCTGCTTTCAGAGATGTTCTATGGTTCGGCTCACTTTCATGGCGCTTCGCGATTATTTGGATGATGTTGCAGCTTGTCATTTCCCTGACATCTGCGCGTTGACGCCAGAAAGGCTAGCCAAGGCCAAAAAGCGATTTCAATCTCCTGAAGCAGCTCTCTAGACTAGATAATGGTTTTAATGAAGTGTGTTGCAGAGAATCGGGCTTCAGAGTTTTGTTAAGCTGCTGGGTTTCAGGGTTCTCTTGGAGGTTCAGCAGACTTGACAGGTAGTGCTTTCGAAACGGGATTTTGCCAGTTAGGGCATTTATCAAATTCGTGCGACCTGCGTACCGGGTCCTCTGATCCTCCGTGTATCGTGCATAAGGACTGCGTCGTCGTGATCTGTCCACCGAATTTGGGTGCACAGTACCTCCCCAGATTTCTAGTCTGCCTGATTCATCCTGACCTTAAACCACCCAAAGGCAAATCCAAAGCAACCTGAATCCCGCGAAAGCGCATCAGCACTTTTAAGCTACCGAAAGGTCGGTGTCGACGAAGATGTCAAGGGCATGAAGCAGAACTGGATCCAGGCACGTTGAGGGCTTTTGGGACATATGACACGGAGACATGGACGTTGATGCATAGCTCTGGGTTTCCCGTGGCCTTCACCTGCAGATTTAGGATCCACGCCGCAGCTAGACGGGTATGCCATAACCACTGGATGTTGTGTCCCTGGGTGGGAGTACACAAGCTTCGACTCGAACAGAATAGTCCGTTGTGCCGGTGTTGATGCCCGCTTGAGCCACATATCCGCAAAGCGAGCGTGCGTGGTTCTAGGGTTTGGGCTTCCCTAGATCTAGGCGGCTGTAGAGAACAGGCAAGCAAATGGATTCGGGCGAAAGAACCAGTACTAAGTAAACCTGCCTTAGTCAGTGCAGACCAGCACGGCCTAGCCCCCCCCCCAAAAAAAACAAAAAACTCCGCTCCAACATGAAGTTGTTGGAGCGCTGGTGGAAGGACAGCTTCACGACAAGCCTGAAACGAACTTCGCCCCATGTCCTCCAAGCTGCGGGCAGGATGCAGATGCTGCAATCAACAGAAACTCCATCGAGGCCACAGCATGCCGGGCTATAGGGTTTTCGACAGTCAGAAACCCCTGGCCAAGGCAAAATGACTGAGTTATCTTGCTACAGTTAATTATATGCACAGGTTCTTGTAAAATCCACAGATCCTTCTGCAGATGTGCAGTAGCTTCCCCTTAGTAGATTGGATACTGAGGCACGTCGGGCATGACTCTTCTTCTGAAGGAGACAAGTTTTAGCACTCTTGCGGGGTCAGGGTTTCGGGTGTTGAAAAAGTTTTCGCTGTGAATCACGGCCTTGACAGTAGTGTTCTAGGCCACTTAGCCACCTAGCTATGCAGTTCGCATCCAGCCAGCGCACTGCTCGAGGTCGCCCGGGCCATCTACAACAATGCGGTCATGCACCTGAAGGGCAAGAAGGCCAGACACTGTTGAACTCTGCCACTTGAGACTGGGCGATGTTATCTCTGGATTACAGAGATATCTCGCATCTCAATGATGTTTGCATGCACAGCGAAGTTGCATTGGGGCCACCCTTCCTGTAGATATAAGGAATCATCGTACAAGCAGCAGCGGTAAAAATAGTAGCAGTAATCATCATCACAGCCACCATAACCCACGGACAGTCTATTGCCTCAAGTCTCCGCGTGGTGGTGACAACATTCAGGGTTCCAGAATTCGGGGCCACGTGTCACTTTGTCGCATTCCAACCCAGATATATGCTCTGTTGCGAAGGTCCATATGCAGTATATTCAGTACTGGGCACTCCTCATCGAGCTAGACTCTAAATCCTACACAATGAACCCTAACCACAACAGGACCCCAGATCTAACTCTGAACCCCACATGACCACCACACACGGTACACGATCAGACCCGAACCACAAACCCGGTCCTTCCAGAAATAGTCGCGTCCATATAACCCAGTGGCCGACGCCGTAAAAAATTGGACCGCCTGCCCGGTTTTCATTAAAGGCAAACCTATCAAGCGCACACAATCTGGGTACGTCCCGTTTTGTCCAGGGCCTTTGGCTCCGCTTGGCCGAGCTGGAAACCAAGTACGGCAACGCGGAGTCGCTGGACAACGTGGGAAGCCGACGTGTGGGTTTTGGGGCTTAGGGGATTTTGAGTTTCAAGTCGAGAAATTGGGGAAGTGTATAATTTAGAAAGTTTAGAAATTAGAGCTCATGTTAAGTTGTGGTCACTCTGGTATTGAGGATGTTTCGAAAGCAGGATCAAATCTTCAGATTTACAGTACATACCTTGCCAAAATTTGGAGCAGCTCAAACAGGTCGGACCCTTGTTGTGTTCGTGACCGTAAGCCCTACCTGTCAACCCCTAAACCCTGGAGCATCAACCCGAATCCCCAAGCCTGGCCATGAGCTCTGCACCCTTCACTCACCAGAAAAGAGCTCTTCAGGGGCCTTAATCCTAAACCCTAGGGTTTAAGGTTTAGGGTTTTGGGTTTACACCATAACTGCTCAACCAAGAAAGTGCAACTGGAAGCCTCCTCCTCAGGTGCTGCAGCGAGCAGTGACTTACTGCCCACACGCCGAGATCCTGTGGCTCATGGTTCGGGGCTCGGCTGTCCTACCCTCGTGGTCGTGGATGGCATCACTCTTAACCTTTAGGTACTATTCTTGCTACTGCTACAAGTTCACTTGCAAGTGTATACGGTATGTAAAGATAACGCAACCCGTACTTTGCTCTTTCCATGCGAGTCGCTTGTGTCAACTTATGACTTGGCGCACACTGCTGTCATCATTGTGCTGTCCTCAACGCCTACGATCTGTTATTGTTGGCGTTGCCACATACCGCACTGATATCATGTAATCTGCTGCGAGCATTTAACGAGAACATGTATCATCCTCATCGTCATCATGGCTTCTGCTGTTGATACGAGAAGTCCGGTACTGCAGCGCCATCACCATCAACAAAACACTGCCTTTCTCAACTCTGTGCCCTTTTCGACTCGAAATCTCACGTTGACCTAGTAGAAGGTGGAGGAGCAGTAGTAGTAGTAGTAGTAGTAGTAGTCATCGTCGTCGTCGTCGTCGTCGTGAATCCTGTCCTCGTCTTCGTCACACCCAATAGAAGAAAGGCCGTCCACATGGGTTGTTTCAGTTGTCTGAATAATGGCAAGAAGTATGACTCCTCCTTCGGTTTTTGAGAGGTACTTCTAAGCTAAGCCCCCCAAGAGCCTGGTCTTGTTTTGTGGTTTCTATATCAGCCACCGCAGCCTCTGCTCCGGCCTATCATCTAGCCCGTCAGGCTGCAAAGCAGAAGTGGCTCCGAGGCGATGTCGCAGCAGCTCGTCGGACCGGATGTGGGCTTTGGTGAAAACACCACTGCCAGTCACGGAAACAGAGCCCAGAGACTCTTCCGTCCCTTGCTTAAAGAAGGAGGGGTGCCTTCAGTGAGGATCCATGCACCATGTAAGGAAGAGACCTCAAGCGGGGATCGTAGAGTCTCTCGGAAACTGGCTCAGGCTATTTTGTTTGGTGAGCGGGGAGGGGGGCGAAACGGGGCTTTCAACATCGCTCTTCCCTGTTCAAGTCCAGCAAATGGAATGTTGTACATGATGGTCCGCAGTTCACTAGGTCCCACATTCGCAAGCAATCACAACTGGACATCCCGGTACTACTCTTTCTGCTCTGTTCCAGATGCTACCCCGTTGCCACCACCACGACGACCACTTGGAATTACGGCGCACCAACACCACCACCAACGAAATCTTGATCCAACCCGGCAGCTGAACAAGCCTTCAGAAACCCTCGCGAATGCCTGCAGGATTCTGGCCGAAGCCTTCAGCCACTCTAAGGAGTCCGAGGCCACTGGCGCTTTGATTGCGAGTTTTTCCAGGAGGAAGACGTTCGCAGAATTATGATATGTTGCAGCGATAAGTATGTTGCGACAGAAGCTCAGCAAGGCGTGTGTTCCAAATTGGGCATCCCAAAACACACTCATTAGTAAGGTAGACGATAGCCAAGACTTACGAAACAAGACCCGCAGGATTTGTCTTTCCCGCGTTCCTCGCATGAAGCGATGTTCGCTTTTGAACTTTGCCTTTGGCATCGTGCTGCCGTGCCTGAAACCATCGAAACCGGGAGGCCATTCACTTGGCAGCCGCCGGCATCCCAGCAGTGGGAAGGGTTTCGGGAACAGACACCCGTGCGGTCCGTCACGAAGGGGTCCTTCCTGGCATTCTGGTTGGGGTTCGGTAGTTGTTGGGCCTTTGTAGCACAAGACACAAACAAATCCCAAAACCACTAGACTTGGCCGGAAACCCTAAAAGGCCAAGCGTTTTCGTCAAAGGTGAAGCTGGAGAGCGAGAACAACGAGATTCAGCGATCTCGTCTGCTGCTCGCCCGAGCCGGAGCCTCAGCTAAGAGTCGAGACGGCCGCAAACAGAGGTACGGGGTAGGGTCAACATCTCACGGATCCCGGCTGTTGGCTGTAACAAGACAGTGCAGAACCACGATGGAGGGCCTGCAGCCAATTCTTTTCTCGTTTGACGGCCGTCCTGAAGTGATGGAGAGACAGCTTGTTGTGCAGCACATGACCCTGCAGGCACGGCAGCAGTGCAACACGCCCAAGGCACGACATTGGTTGACAATGATAAATATACGAATACTTATAGCTAGAACCAGCATACTGCCTAATGCTGAATAGTTACATAATCATCTATGCATCCCCAATTTTCATGTCTTCTGTTGATTAGCGCTGCAGACAGCCTGAAGCTCTGGTGTGTCCTGCAACGCCTGCAGGTCTGGATGCAGTCGGTGCAGCTGGAGAGAGAGCAGGGCCTCTACCAGCAGGCCTTTCGAGCAGGACGTACTCTTAGGACCCATGCAAAAGTAGGGATACTAGTCTTAGTAAGGGATAGCGAGCTGCTAGGTTTGGGTGCAAGATCCAATCACCTGCGGTGAAGCTTAAACTGCACGCTGCCACTACACTGCACCGGGCAGTCGCGATGCCTCCCGAGTCTGCAGACCTTGGCACATGGAAGAGTCGGTTAAATTGGTGCCTTGGGCACCATACCCCGACCTAAAACAGAGGGACTCAAACCGCACAGGCATTGCACTTGTCGGAGGAGGGCCTCAAGGACCGATAGCGGCGCGCATTGGTAGGGAGTCATGACTTGGCGCTGGCGAGCCTGCAGGTCTGTTTTACAGTGTTCAGGTTGAGTTGAGCACTGGGCCACCTCTGTGCACGTCCGACTGAGGAGCACCCTTCCTTTGCCAAACTTTGGATGATTGGCGGGCAGATTCACATGGAGAAGCAGATGCCCTAGGGATGCATGCCCGAGTAGGGCAAGCACCATTTTGAATGATCACGGCTACGACCTATGGTCCTAATGACCATCATGACGACCATGGCGCCGATATGCTGTCGGTGATGCCGCTGTCGCTGATGCTGCTCGTGCTGATGCTGACGATGCTACTACGGCTGGCGGCTGTGCTGATTGCTGATGCCTGTGGCGGCGGAACTGGTACCGAGAAGATGACGACGACGACGACGGCGAGGACGATTCTGATGATGATGATGATGCTGATGACGATGATGATGATGATGGTCACGGCAAAAGTGTGAATGATTCTGTTGGAGACAGCGAGATGATGATGATGATGATGATTTTTGTCATGGCCCACGAACATGAACACGGTTACATGGATGTAGACGCGTCTACGACGACTGAGGACGATCGATTACTGGAGCCGCTAGCAGTCACTAGCACTGTACGGCAGCGAGTCTGACTACTCGTACCTTGGTGTTTGCATTGGCGCAGAAACGTATTCTGTTGATCGAAATTGCACCGACAACTTCAAACCGTTTTTAAACACGGCCTCCAAAGACCTGTAGAGCTGAGAAAGAGGCCTTCAGAATCAGACAGCATAAGCAGTGCTGGCAAAGGTCGCCGCCTGAGCTCCTCGAGGCGGGCCTTGTGGCGGATAAAAAATGCGGGACGGTTTTAGGTGCAGGGCGGTGTAGGGCTCTGTCGGGTTTTCGGACTACTGAGAGGATCTGTGGGAGACGAAGAAATGAGTTGTTCGGTGATTTGGGGTTTAGGGTTTGGCTCGCGTTCGGGGAGACTGAGCTGGGAGATCATCATTATGCCCGAACTGGGGTCTGTCCGACTTCCGTCCCCAGATATGAACCTTGCCAGCTGAGTCTTTAAGTACAGCGGTCACAAGCGAGTTAGCGGGCTCTCGAAGTCGAATGTCAAGCAGCGCTTGATGAAGAAGATGCACAACACAGAGGAGCGGTACAGTAGTAGACAGAACTCGGCATAGGGCGTGAGGCGAGCGCAATGCCAACAACATTTGAGAATTCGTCTTGAGTTACTTATGTATCGTAAGTTTGGATGGGGCGGTGATCGCGAAGGAAGGGACGAGGCTGTTTTGACAGAAAGCCCTAAACCTGGAAAAGCCCGAGGCCACCAAGTTCTTCGAGCGTGGGCTGCTGAAGTGCCCACGCACGGAGCTTGGTTTTGTTTCTAGGGTTTAGGGTTCGGGGTTGCGGGGGCAGTTGGGGCTGCTGGCTTCTGCAGCTCATCACAGGAATGATAGAGTCTGATAGAGATCGGTTCACACATGGTTCAAAGACATGGTCTGGCCATATACTGCTGTGCAAATGCCCTAGGCAGTGTGCCTCTGTGGCTTTGTGCCGTGGAATGCGAGCAGCATCCTCAGACGCACCACGGGTTTGTTCTCGGCTGGGCTTCCCAATCTGCACTGAGAACAACCGCATCCCTGCAAAACCGCCGTAGTGCAGAACCCTGAATCCCGCATGCTAAACTTAGCCAAGACACCAAACACCAACCCGTCAGCATGTCAGTCCTACGTCTGTTCGATGTAGCCTGTTGCTTCGCAGATGCTGCGGACTGGTTTCAGACTTCCGCCAACGAAGGGACGTTGTGGAGTCTGATCCCGGTTATCTGACCGTTAGTTGTCTTACTTTTGGCTTTGAGAAATCCTATGTAGCTTCTGAAGTGCGTAGTCTCATCATTAGTGCCACTATTGTCGATTTGGTCATCTAGTTTTGCTGCTGCGATACGGTTCTGCCCTTCTGCCCGATGCCCGTAGACGCGTTTGAAGTCGAGCCCCCTCTTGAATCTCGTTTCAAACTTAGTTTTCTAGACAGCAGGTGGCAGCTGCCGGTGTTCCCATGAAACGTCACCCAAGAACCGCAGGTTCTGAGATCTGACTAGGGGGTGGCTCTTGTGCATCCGCGGGCCTTAGGTGACGACATCCGAACCGAATATCAGAACTTACGCCACTTACTCAGAACCACAAATAAGATCTGGCATCTGGCTTCTTTTGATTGGCACTAAGGATCAAGCAGCAGAAGTACACCAAGGCAGTCTCTTCCACGGATTGTGGATTGCTTGAACCGCGCTGCCCATCCATTTTTGATAAGCCCTCCATAACCAGTATGATTCGGGCAGGAAGGGGTCCGGCCCGCCGTTCGTAGAAACCCTCATAAAACTCTCTAGAGGTTTTCTTAATTCTTCTTCTCAATCCCATATCATGGCATGAGACTACCACAAGACGTGTCCTGCAGAACCGAATTTGAAATTTGATTCAACTCGAAATAACGCTTCCTCGAACCCACTTACGAAATCTTTGAATCCCGGACAATGCAAACCTTACAGAGTCCTGCCTTCTCCCGCCGCCCGCGCTCTATGGTTCTTTAGAGGCCCGCTCACTGCTGGAGAAGGCACGCCTCCGAAACCCGGGCGGTGACCTCGGCACTTTCGAACGGCAGGAGGTTACGACGGTGCTGTATGGTCTTTCAATGTGCTTGAAGCACCCCCATATCTTACTTACACAGCCCCGTTCTTGCGATCCCTTTCTTAATCCTGCTTGTTCAGTTATCTGGTCCTCCACGCAGGGCTCATGATGGCTTGTGCTTGAGGTGAGAATAACAGGCCGCTGCATGAGAAGAAATCGGCACCCAACTCTCAAGCTATCAAACCCAAGCCCAAGGTCTGCAATCTTACCCAAAAGCCCGCGTCATAACCTGAACCCAAGCCCAAACCTTCGAAGCCGAGAAGTCCAAAAGAAAGACGAGGTGCAGATCTTCTTTGGCTGAAGGGCGTCGAGGCCCTTGGATGCCAAAGGAATGCACCTGTTCCTCCCCCTTTTGAGGGACAAACTAGCACGAGAGTCGGGGTGACTGAGACATCTTGAGGTTCGAGGGTATCGACATGTCTGTGGGTCACGTAGGATTGACATGTTGCACCCTGGATTTCCAAGAAGCAGAGCCGTCATGCAGCTGTCACTTGCTCCCTCTTGAAAGCAGCCTCTACACACGGGTACAACCACGAAAGGTCTTGCTTACCGGCTTCCAGGGTTGGCGATTGTCGAGGCAGACACTGGGAGGTTCTACGGAGCTTTTTAGCGGCGATGGCCTCCCTTTCCGCAAGCTTGGCTCAGAATTTTTTTGTGTTGAGCCAGCAGCCTTGGGTACGCGGCATGTCGAATGCCACAGAGACGGGCTTGGAATTCGAGCTGGGGGCTCCTTGGATGAGGTCTGCTGTTTCACCCTGTGCGGAATCCTAGCATTGAAAGAGTATTCCGCAGATGAGACGTTTCCTGGTGTCTGCATTTTGAGAGTGATCATCTTGTGTCGTCCTGTGTGCATATGGCAATGGCACAATGTTGTGATGGTTACGGTCGACACAGCTAGAAAGGCCCACACCCTGCACCCCAAAATTCAGGAACGCACTCTTGGAGAGACGTTGTCGTTCCTTCTGGTCGCGGCGGTGACATGCACGGTGCTTGAGCATCTGAGCCTTTGCCTGTTAGTCGTGGTCTGAGACTCAGGGTTGAGGGCTTAGGGCCTACTAAAGTCTCGGGTCATGTCACTGCGCATAGGACAGTTTTCAACAGTGTTTTGGGATACTGTTTAGGTCTTTAGGTGATGTTCTGCTCCGTTTACACGACTGAGGGGTTGTGGTGTCTGGTCTCGGGCTTTCGGGGCGCAGTAATGCGTATCCTTTGCATAGAGGTCATGTGGCTGTAGCAGCAGCATACTATAGTCTGCAGACATGATTCCAATTTCTAGTACCGGCGTTGAGCCGTTCCAAAGTCTTAGATGGCGCAGAGTCACTTCTGAGACCGTTGATGGTATCGAGTCTTAGGGACAACCCCAACATGTAGGTTTGAAACCCGGGCAGCGAATCCTACCCTTTCCCTCCACCACCCTTTGACCCAACAAGCTTGTGCACACCTACATCCCGAAGACCTCAGCCACAAAGCACGCCCCAGCCTTAACTTTTCAGGCCCGGAAAAGCTATTCCGAAATACAAGCGCGCACTCGCTAGTCCCTGAGGCGGGCATTAAGTTCTGCCCTGGACTTGGCCGCTGCCTCACCGAGGAACTCAAAATTGCCCTCCTGCATCCGACTTCCCATCTCCGTTGTCCTCTTCGTGGCGGGACTACTCATAGGAGCTACAGCTCATGTTTTGGATGACACGCCCCTCTAATCGGTCGTCAGCTTTTGTTCGGGTCTTCTTCTTCTTCAAAGTCGACACTTAGAATAGCGGCTCATCTCAGGGTCTTGATTCAGGAACCATGTCCCTTTGGTTCTTTCAGTGGGGTAGTCTCAAAGTGTAAAGCGCCTTAACATACCTTAAACAGTTCACAGTACCTGAAGAGAATCCCTCGAGAGTACGGTTTCAGAATTGAGATTTACTCGCCGGAGCTCTCGCCTGTGTAGTTTCACTTAGGGTTACGATTCGGATTTGAAGGCCTATAGAACAATTCACGGAAGAGGCTGCGAAAGGGAACCCGGCCCAGAAATCCATCTAACACAGTCCGAGATAACGTCGCGAGCACGAGCATGAGGAATCGACTCTGCTGTGGCTCGTTTCCATACGGTGTACTGGCGGCGGGATTTGGGGCTTGGGGTTAAGAGATTTGGGGCCAAAGGTTAAGAAGTTGAGGGTTTATGAAGGTTATTGGCAGTTTTCAGGGTCTTAGTCTTGCAGTCTAGCATCATCTCTGAGCGAGCCCTCCAGAGAGGAATACTGGTGATGGACTTCTTGGCCGAGAGAGTTCCGAGGTGGCACTTTGGGATTCTGTTTATGCGGTTTAGGGCTTTGTAGTGTTGTTTAAGTTGCTTAGGGATGTTCTCAAATTCCCATAGTGTCTTGTAGAAGTGCCTATTCGTTTGGTCGGCGCCCTGAATCTGCAACCCAGGTTAAGGAATCCTTTGTTACGGAGCTGGTGGACGGAGTCTTGCAACTTGACTTTCCCCGGCAAGGCACCCCAACTTCAAACTTCCAGCTGCCGGACGCGGAAGAACGCTACGGGGGTTTGGGGTTTAGAGGGCAACTGTACGTAGTGCAAACTGTAACCTTTACAACACGGCTAGACATAGCCTTTGCATTCTTTACCGCCAAGTACAACATCATAGAACACAGTCTGAGGCGCGCTGCAACCCAGAATCCGAAATCTCGCAAAGTGGATCTCTTGCAGCTTGTTCCTGGGCCCAGTTTGATACCTTAAAGCCAAGAGAAGAAAGTATAGTGGCCACCAGGACCGTCAATTCCAGCTTGAATCTCGTATTGGAGAAGTCCCACCGTGTCAAGGGATATCGGATTGAGCTGGGACTTTAGCCTCCGGCGGTCACGGTGACTCATGCAGTATGCTTTTAGATTGCAATGTCCCTTGGCGCTATGGTGGAGGGAGTCTAAGAATGATCATAATGTAAGAGCAACCCTTGCGTCAGGTACGTTAGCCACTCAACCCGAAAGCTTGTGGTCTGGAATGTATTTCTAAGGCAGGCCGGTTGGTTTGAGCCCCACGCGCTCTTTTTCATCCTGCTGCCTCCGCTGCTCTTCGAGAGCTCCAGCAACATGTCCTGGCACGTGCTGAAAAAAGTGCTGGCGCCTCGGCAGAGTGAGTTTGCAAAGAGAGGCGACAAGATGGCCCACCTCGGTGTGGTGACAGTCATGCTTTTGAGCGTCCATTTTTGCTACTTTTTCTACTATTCTTCGAAGTGGCAAGAGATGGAGGCACCATGCGGATGAGGCTTTTCAAAACTGACACCCAAGTGGCCAATCTGTTCACTATGTGTTCTCGGTAGGCTGTACGACATGGTTTCTTTCGACGAGAACACCTTTCCCGGATGCCAGATCCTTCTCGGGTGTTTCCTGTTGCAGACTTGCAGAGGAACCCATGGACCCCAAACCCCTGGAGCATCGAGGCCCGAGTTTCAGGCAATATCCGGGGCATCCGCAAGAAGGCTTCATTGTGGAACTCTCTACATAGTACCAATAGGATTCTCAAAATCACATCCTAAGTCTGGAGAAACCCTGAAGCTGAACCCTCCCATGGATAAAAGGGTACATGGCATTTCTCAGGTGTCTTCCTACCTCTTGGCCTGGCCTGGTGTCTTAGTGAACACCCTCCTCACCGGCAGCGCTGTGCGAGCGACCTTTGGCAAGGTGCTAAGATCATTAGTAAGTTAGTACTGAAAATACTAATAGGTACTACAACATCACGGGTCCGGGTTCTGCGTGCTGACAAGATGCAAGGCCCCTCCTGCTGAATTCGAGGTCTCATGTTTCCTGGAACCCAGAGAGCTCAGCCTAGCGTCATGCCCGAATCCAAGCATCGCAGAGCAAACCAGACGAAAAAAGAGAAGTGAAGTGAGCACCCCAAGCCCTAAACCCTGCATAGCACCTCATCCCTAAACCCGACACATAGAGCCCCTAAACGGAAAGAGGAACCTTGAGCTCCTCAGTCCAAGAAGACAAAATGGTGCTGGGCTGAGGATCGTGCAAGTGAATCATGCGCCGCCCTCCTGGGAAGCGTCCTTCCTGCTAGGCGCCTGCTGGACTTTCCACTGGGTTGGCTCTTTGTAGGGGACCTAAGCTAAGCTACCCTGGTACCATGTCAAGAAGAGCAGGTTAGATGCTTCAACAACGGATAACTTACGAACTTCATGAAGAGGGACCCAGTCTAACACCCAGGAGCTTGACTAGCCTTCAACTTCTTGGCCCTTGCTCATTTCGCGCTTCGGTTGACATGTTGCATGCAGCCGTTATGCAAGCTTTGGGGCACCTTTTCCTGCGAAGTTAAGAGCTAGGGCTTAGGGAAGTCAGGATCCCAAAGTTGAAGATCCTTGAAAGTAGACACCTCTTCTTTTGGGAAACTCCCCACTTGGCCCCTGTGAGGTATGGGTATACACGCGACTGTTCCGATCGAGATTTCACTTTTGCTTCTTTGAATGGTCACATCCCTTTGGGTTGTGTGCATGGGCCCTTCTGAAAGAGCCTGCTCCATCTTGACGATTTCCAAACCCTAGACTCCTGACCTCAAAAACCACGTGCAATGGTGGTCCTTCAGGAGTAGTGAGGATTAATGGAGACCACTTCTACAAGGACCACACAAACAACATGCTCATTTATCTGTTTGACGGGAGGGAAGCGCGGAGTGGGGGGGGTGACACAATGAGAGGTCTCCCTTGTAGGCTTTGCTGGGCTCCTCGATGATTGCTTCCTCATTGGGATTTGAATCATTGCGTTTTAGACTATAGAGTTTAGGGAAGTTTAGAGGTTGTGCACAGTATTGTTTACAATCTACTTGTTGGTATTGTTTCAGTTCGCCATGTTATGGCCACCGTAAATAGCATTGTGCTGCCTATTCGGTGTGTGTTGCCGCTCCTGTTTCCATGAGGATGACTGAGTATTTCGGAGTCAAGTCAGGTTTCAGTCGAAGCTCGATCAGGGAACTACAGTAGTCTCATGTCTTGTGTTATGCAATTTAGCTTATTTTGTTTGGCTCGGGCAGTGGTTCTGGAAATGTTCTGTTTGCAAGGTATGCGACACGTTCTCACGCGGCCATTTTTGGTTCAGTTCTCCGAGGTCTCCTGTGCAGGAGATTAGACTTGTCCGAACTAAAGCTTCAAGAACCCTCAACCCAAATGCCAGAACGCCGCAAACAAGAAGCCTTACATCCGAAGCCCTAAACTCAAGACCCCAAACCTCGAACAGAAAACCTAGTAACCCTAAACCCCCCCCCCCCCCAAAAAAAAAAAAA